TATGAGAGGGAAAAACTGAAAGTTGAGCTGAAAAGAAATGTTAGTAGAATCTGCTTCACAACAGATACTTAGATTTCTGTACAGCAAATTAATTATATATGTTTGACCGGGCATTATGTGGATAATAATTGGACTTTGAAAAAGAAAATTTTAAATTTTCGTGCCTATTACAAATCATAAGACTTTAGATATCGGGGCTGCAATTGAGAATTGTTTGCTAGATTGGGAAATTGAAAATGAAAAATGTGTTTTCTATAACGTTGATAATGTTTCTTCTAATGATTCTACCATTGAGTATTTGAAAGAGCAATTTGCTCACCGAGAAAAATGTTTGTTGGGTGCTAAATGGTTGCATGTTTGTTGTACTGCTCATGTAATGAATCTGGTTGTTAAAGATGGTTTGGCATATATAGGGAAGTCTGTTGATAGGATTAGGTTCGTAGTTAAGTATATTAGGCAGTCTCCTAAAAGATTGGCAAGTTTTAGAAAATGTGCTAAAATTCAGAAGTGTGGTAGCTCTAAGAATCTAGTATTAGATGTTTGTACAAGGTGGAATAGTACATATTTAACGCTAGAAACTGCTCAAGTGTATGAAAGAGCTTTTAGGAGATATAAAACTGGAAATCAGCACTTTAAGGACACTTTGAGGTTTGATCCTGAAGTGCCAAATTCTGGGCCTGGTCTGCCTACTTCAATGGATTGGGTAGAAGCTAAGAGTATTGTTGGTATTCTTCAGCATTTTTACGAGATAACCTTGAAGGTATTTCATACAAAATCTATCTTCTCGGATTCTTTCTTCACTGATGTACATTGTATTGATATTTTGTTGAGGAGAATCATCAAGGAAACTGATGATAATGGTCAAAAATTGATGGCTGAAAGGATGAACGATAAGTTCGATAAATACTATGGTTCTATTGGGTCGATGAATCTTGCTGTTTTGATGGCATGTGTTTTTTATCCAAGAAATAAGTTTAAATACATTGAAGTTGTATTTCAACAGGTTTATGGGTTAGTGGATGGAAAGAATAAGTATGAATTTGTTAAAACCGCCATTTATGAGTTGTTTGTGGGTTATGTTAGAATCCATGCCCCTAAACCTAGTTCTAGTACGCCTTCCTATTCTGATTCCAATTCATCTCAAGCAACTTCATCGGGGAAAAGACCTTCCCCGATTGATATCGAGCCTTTAAAGCTGCTTAGAGATCAGTTTAGGATGGAGTTGGCGAAGAAAAAAGTTGAAGAAGCTAGTGGGGCTTTAAATAGAAATGAAAAAACAGAACTGGACAAGTATTTGAACGAGGATGATGAACCAGATTGTCCAAATTTTGATCTATTGAACTAGTGGAAGGTGAACAGCCCTATGTTTCCTATTCTTTCTCTGACATCTTCCTGCCATTCCCGTCTCAACTGTGGCTTCCGAATCATGCTTTAGCACAAGTGGTAGGGTATTGGATACATTTAGGAGTTCTTTAACTCTGAAGACTATTCAGTGCTTGATTTACACTTAGGATTGGCTTCAGAGGAAGTTGAAGAAGAAGGTGTAGAAGAGAGTTGGGAAGACCTCCTTCACATGGACGAAGGTTACATTTGTTTTAAATTTCAAATACATTCGTAATGATTTTAATTCATCTGTTTATTTTTAGTTGAATGTTGATTGTTGACTGACTGTTCTTTTTTTTTCAGCTGCTGAAAAGGGAAAGAAAACTAGGGTGTGATAGGTACATTCTAAAATCTAGACTTTAGATTTTCTTCTTCCATTTTCTTCAATTTCGCTCACTGACTGACTATTTCTTTTTTTCTAAAAGTTGCTGTTGGTGTTGCATGTTGCCTGTTTGCTATTGCTGTTGCCTGCTTGAAGACTTGAAGTTGAACTGATTAACTGTGATGATGTTGCTGAATGAAGAGTGATGATGTTGCTGTTGCTGTTGCCTGTTGAAGCATGAAGACTGAATGAAGACTAAACTGATCAACTGAACTACTGTTGCTTGTAATTCTGTTCTGTATCTCTGTTGATGCTGCTTTGATGCTTTTTGTTCAGAATGTTCTGAATTCAAATTTGATTACTAGACTTTGTGATGTGTAATACTGTAATGACCATTTCCATTTGGGATCATTTGTGTGTTGTGAACTTGAAGTTGATCATTTGTGAGTTCAATGAGTTGAGTAGATGATCACTGATCACTTGTGTGTTCATTCGTGTGATCATTTGAGTTGTGGCTTGTGAGTTGTGACCATTATATATTCATATTTCCATTCCATTTGGTGTTGTGATTTTATTTTTTTGAAATCCTCTCTTTATCAGTTTTTTTACGTTTGTGTGTTGTGAACTTGTGATTTTCATTCCATAGTTGATAGTTCAGGAATAAGGATTTGAAATCCTATTAAAAAAAAAAAATTGGCCTAATTTAAGTTTGGCCTTTTTATTCGGTTTAAACGACCCCAATGAAAAAATCCGATTAATCCGAACCAAATTCACCCGAACCGAGCCGAATTGACCAAATTAGCAGCCCTACTGAGACCAACCATGCGAAATCGCGACGTTGAGATCATTCCCTCCAAATCCTCCAATTATAAAAAGAGCCTTCTTCAGCATTTGCCTGCTCTCAGGCGCGTCGACATCAAGAGATATGGAATTCAAGTGTTCCTTAAACCAGTTGATCTGTTGGTCCATATTGGGTTCACCCGGGAGCATGGTATACCCACTCCTTTTTTACATATTTAATCCTTATTGTAGTTTTTCTCAATCTTCCTATATTTTACAAGTTTAATCTCTGTCATTTTTTTCTCTCTCCTCGTAAAATATCTCTAATCTTCAAACGAACATATCTCATGATCCGTACAGAATTTGTAAACAAATTATATATGAAATTTATAGTACTCGACGAGATTTATCCAACAAGATCCATATTAAATATTTTTTCTTGGCTTAAAAATGATTAAATTCTGATGGACAGAAATAAGGTGGATATCCAGTTAAAAAAAAAAAGATAACCAACTTATTTTAAATTGGTTATCCATTGTGTTCATACTTATTATCCAACCAGTTTAAATTAGTTATCCATTTTATTTGTACTGGTTATTCATTTGGTTTGTATACCTATCCAACTTATATTGTAGTTGTAATCTAACATTGTATGCATATCCAACTTGTTTGTATTGGATATCCATTTAGTTTGTATGCCTATCCAACTTATGTGTACTGGTTATCCAATATATTTATATGCCTATTCAAATTGTTTGTACTGGTTATCCACTCAATTTTTTGTTTGAAAAAAATCATTGTCCAATACGCTAATATCGGTTATCCATTTTGTTTATACTGCTTATTCAATCATTTTTTTTCTTTGAAACACGGTTATCCAATGTGTTCATAGTGATTATCCAATCGTTTTATATTGGTTATCCAATTATTTTTACTGTTTGTCCAAATAAGTTTGCATTACTTGTTCAATCTTTTTTTTCCTCTCGAGAAAAAACTTGTCCAATATATTCATACTGGTTATCTAAAAGTAAAGGGAAACTTTAACCGGAAACTTTAACCATGGCTTTGTGGCTTGAATTTACAGAAGCCCCAAACAGGAGGGATGGTTTTTCTAAAAAATAAAAAAATAAAAAAATATTCAAGTGTATGCCGCAACTTCCCAAGCGTGCTTGTTGGGAATGAATTTGTGGACATGGGATTCGAAACTTAATCATAAACTTCATATTGCTCCCAATTAGCGGGCTATAAGTTCAAGATGTTCAACTTGAGGTGCCAAGAAAAAAGGACAGTTAGCATTAAGAAAGTTTCTGGATTTGAGAAATTGGTTTCCCATTTTTTTTTTCAGTATACACCAAGTAAGATAATTTATACTCCTATATATTATCCACGGAAATCGTAGGATTGAATTGTACACCAAGGAAAATAATCTATACATCAAGCAAGAATTAATTGTACTTTCCATTGTACCAAAGAAAAATAAAACAATATTAATTTCTTTATATACGTAAGTAAAGAATCGATCTTGTAACACTATGATGTACTAGCATCTTTTGCAATATATTTATGAATTCGACATGTACGTCCGTCCATATACCTTCCTACTCGGATCTTCAGAGTTTCCGATCATAGAGTTGCTTCCGAGATGTTAAATCTCATATGTAACTTTAGGAAGAACATCATGGATGAGACGATCAGATATGTGACGGTATGCTGCTTGTATTAAATGTATTCCATCTGTTAAAAGTATATAAGTATTTTTGGCTCCCATCTCAAAACCAATTGGCTATTAGTGAGTTGACCTTTGGTACTTATATATAGAGTTATTTATCTTTACACCTTAACACCCTCCCTCAAGTCCAGTGGGTCTATTGAACTTTTTGCCCAATGGACTTGGATCAGGACATGAACAGAATAGTCAACGAGTCAATGCTCAAGTGGGAGAAAGCTAGTTATACCGCTGAATCGGTTCACAAAAAGCCCACGAGTCAAGCTCACAACAAGCCCACGAGTCAAAGCTCAAGTGGGAGAAAAGTCAGTTACACCGCTGGATCGGTCTACAACAAGCCCACAAGTCAACGCTCAAGTGGGTTAATATAATATCACCACAGGCCACCCCCGGCTCATACTCCACCATAGGCCCAGACCGCTCTGATACCATGTCGAAGTATATAAGTAATTTGGGCTCCCATCTCAAAACCAATTGGTTATGAGTGAGTTGGCCTTTGATACTTATATACAGAGTTACTTCTCTTCACGGTGATGATGTGGGAAAAGATTATACATCTTAACACCATTCCAATGAATAAACTCTGCTGGATTTTTGCAAGTTTCAACACCCTTTGATCCACGAACATGCTTTTCATCACAATTATATTTCCCTCCAACTCCACAACAGCTTTGAGCATTGAATCCTGGTGGAACCCGAAGAAACTGACATAATCTAAAATGGATTGAAAAGCTTGATAATAGTCAAAATAAAGAACAACAACATCTGGAAACTCAAGGTTCAGTGATTCTACTGCTTTCTGAAGATGATCGTTGAAGAACAACGCCAACTCGTTGAATTCCTCAAACACCCTTGTTTATCATAATCTTCATCAGGACTGGGAAATTTGATCAACATTATAGGGAAACATTCTTGAGGGAGATTTTTTGGTACCACAATGTAAGTAGCTCTAAGACGGATAGTTTTTCTAACTGCATTAGATATGGATTCAACAATCAACGGCACCAAGCTCTCGCGGATCTCCTCTTCAGACCAGCCCTTCCAGATCCCGTTACCGGCATCATTTCCACCATATCCTCTAATTATAACAAGAGCCTTCTTCAGCAATTTCTTGCGCTCAGGCGCATCTGGATCATTTGAACCAGTATTCAAGTATTCTTTGAACCAGGTGATCTGATGCATGGTTAAGAGGAATATTGGTTGATGGTACAGTAATATTTTTTCTGGCAAAGAATGCTTTATCTAGAGCCGTACTTCCAGCTATGGCGAAGTTGACGCCGTGACTAAATATCGTGTTTCTGTCTGTTGGCCCAGTATTCCCCTCAATTGGGTCAACAAGGAAACAAATAAAACCAAGCCAAATTTGGCTTTGGTTTTAGGAAACAAAACCCACTCCAATTGGGTTTTTGTTTTTAGGTTTTTTTGCTCTATAAAAGCAAGGCTTTGGCATAATTTTTTAGGTGTGTATTTTTCAGCCAAGAGAGAAAAAAAGTTTGGGCAGCCGTGCATTGTTTTTGTACGAGAGAAAAAGAAAGAAAGCTAAGGTTTAGTTTTCGATTTAGCTCTCTTTTCGTTAGATCCTTCCAGTCTTACTTTGTGATAGGTGTGTGTGGAAGAGTATTGTTGTAATCCACCTTTGGGTGAAGTCCTATGTATCCATCGGTTGGTGAAGATTGTTTTCTCATTATTGTGATAGTGGAGATTTGACTGTTGTTACAGTCCCGTGGTTTTTCTCGATTTGGGTTTCCACGTAAATTCTTGTGCCTCTTTTATTTTATCTGTTCTTGAATTAGTTGCTTGTTTGGGTGGTTGTCCTATTTTATTAGTAGTAGGAAAGGAGATTTTCTTGGGGTTCGCTTCCGCAGTGTGTTGTGTTTATACCCTTTCCGCCACAACAGTGGTATCAGTGCTACGGTTCGGTAGTTGAGGTGTTACACCAATAAAATGAAAGAGTCATTGGGTGCTGGTACGATGATTAAATTGACTTCATCCAATTATCATATGTGGAAGCCTAGAATGGAAGATTTGTTTTATTGCAAAGATTTGTTTGATCCTGTTCTAGGGGATGAAAGTAGGCCAAGTGATACGACTGATAAAAATTGGGCTGATATGCACAGGAAAACTGTTGGTAATATTCGACAGTGGATTGATCAAAGTGTGTTTCATCACTTTTCGGGAGAAACAAAAGCTGATGAACTTTGGGAGAAAATCCAGAATATGTACCGGAAGAAGTCCAGCATCAATAAGTCATCTGCGCCGAAACAGATTACCAGGTTGAGGTACAAAGATGGTGCTAGCATGAATGAGCACTTGAGTTCGTTTCAGGGTTTGTTGAACTAAGCTGTGAATGTAGGTTTAAAGTTAGATGATGAGGTGCAGGCTTTGTTATTGTTTAGTTCTCGTCCAGACAGTTGGGACACTTTGGTAGTGTCAATCAGTAATTCAACCCAGGATGGTGTCTTGACCTTGGATCAGGTCAAAGAGGCTTTGATGAATGAAGAAGTTAGAAGAAAAGAGCAGAGTATTGAGTCTGAGTCGTAGGCTCTGGTGACAGAAAAGTCAGACATAAGAGGGAGAAGTAAAAGCAAAGGGCCACGTGATCGGAATGACAAGTCCAGGAGACGGTCTAAATCCAAGAAAGATGTCGTGTGCTACCATTGTCAAGGGAATGAGCACTTTAAGAAGAGTGCAGGGTTCTCAAGAGAGAACTAGCAGCGAGAAAAAATAAAGGCAAGAAGGATGAATCAAGTGATGATGACACTACTGCAGTAGCAACTACCAGTGATGTATTTGTGTACTGTGATGATGATACAATTAATGTTGCGAGTCACGACAGTGATTGGTTCGGTGATTCAGGTGCGTCTTATCATGTGACCCCTCACAGACACTTCTTTACCTCTTACAAACCTGGAGATTTTGGTCGTGTAAGAATGGGCAACCAAGCCTCATGCGATGTTGTCGGCATGGGAGAGGTATCATTGGTAACGAATACAGGTTGTACTCTTGTCTTGAAGAATGTCAGACATGTTCCGGATATGCGTCTGAACCGTATTTCCGTTGGTAAACTTGATGATGAGGGTTATCATAGCCCTGAAGGTGGTGGCCGTTGGACAATTACCAGAGGGAATCTTGTTATTGCTAGAGGAAAGAAGTTGAACTCTTTGTATGTGTTGAATGCAAAGTTGAGAAATGGAGAGGTGAATGCGACTCACAATGCCTCCATTGATCTCTGGCACAGAAGGCTTGGACACATGAGTGTTAAGGGGTTGCAGATTCTTGGTAAGAAGCAATTTCTCCCAGAGGTGAAAGGTACTGCTCTAGAACCTTGTGTTGACTGCATCTATGATAAACAACATAGGGTTTCCTTTCAAAATTCTCCTCCATCTAGAAAGTCCAGTCCTCTTTGTTACTTTCATTGATGACTATGCTCGAAAGGTTTGGTGTTTTTCTTTGAAATCTAAAGACCAGGTATTAGATGTGTTCAAAGACTTTCACCTTAGAGTTGAAAGAGAGACTGGCAAGAAGTTGAAGTGTGTTCGAGCAGATAATGGTGGTGAGTACAGGGGTCCGTTTGAGAAGTATTGTCGAGACCATGGCATTAAACTTCAGAAGAGTGTTTCGAAGACTCCGCAGCAGAATGGCGTGGCAGAAAGAATGAACAGAATTATTACCGAAAAGATTAGGTGTATGCTCTCGAATGCAAAGCTGCATAAATCCTTTTGGGGCGAAGCCATGCGCAGTTGATTTGATCAAACTATCTCCCTCAGTTCCGTTGGATGGTGATCTACCACAACGAGTTTGGACAGGGAAAAATGTCTCATTTAGGCATTTACGAGTTTTTGGTTATCGTGCTTTTGTTCATATTCCAAAAGATGAAAGCTCGAAGCTTGACTGCAAATCCAAGCAGTGTGTATTCTTGGGGTATGGAAATGATGATTTTGGGTACAAACTTTGGGATCCTGTAGAGAAGAAAGTTTTCAGAAGCAGAGATGTGATCTTCTTTGAAGACCAGACCATTGATGATATGGAAAAAGGCGACATGCCAGAATCTTCACCTGAGATTCCTGTTGATTTAGATCCAGTTCCTCCACAATCAGATGATTCTCCTGAAGGGAGAGCTGAGACAGAGCAGGATGGTGAGTTTAATGATGATCCTGTTACTGAAACAGAGACACCACCGGTTTAATCACCTCATGTTCAGCCTAGGAGGTCCACCAGAGACAAGACACCTTCCACCAGGTACAGTGCTTATGAGTATTTGTTGCTTACTGATGGGAGAGAGCCAGAGTCGTATTAAGAGGTTCTTAGTCATGAGCTAAAAGATCAGTGGTTAGCAGCCATGCAAGATGAGATCAAATCCTTGCATGAGAATAACACGTATGACTTGGTAAAGCTGCCTAAGGGCAAGAGAGCACTCAAGAATAAATGGGTGTTTAGACTGAAAACAAGTGAGAACAGCTCACAACCGAGGTACAAAGCCAGATTGGTTGTGAAGGGATTCAATCAGAGAAAGGGCGTAGACTTTGATGAGATATTCTCTCCTGTTGTAAAGATGTCTTCGATCCAAGTTGTGCTTGGGATAGCAGCCAGCTTGAATCTTGAGATTGAACAGCTTGATGTGAAGACAGCCTTCTTACATGGTGATTTGGAAGAAGAGATTTACATGGAGCAACCAGATGGGTTTCAGGAGAAGGGGAAAGAGAAGCTTGTATGTCGTCTCAACAAAAGCTTGTACGGGTTGAAGCAAACTCCGAGGAAATGGTACAAGAAGTTTGATGCCTTTATGATAGGGCAGGGATACCAAAGGACTACAGCTGATCACTGTGTGTTTGTGAAAAAATTCTCTGATGGTGATTTTATAATTCTTTTGCTTTATGTCGATGACATGTTGATTGTTGGTCATGATACTGCAAAGATTGCCAAGTTGAAAAAGGAGTTGAATAAATCCTTTGCAATGAAGGATTTGGGTCCGGCTAGACAGATCCTTGGGATGAAGATTTCTCGTGACAGACAGAATGGGAAGCTTTGGGTATCTCAAGAGAAGTATATCGAGAAGGTTCTTGATAGGTTTAACATGAGTGTTGCTAAGGAAGTCTTGACTCCACTTGCAGGGCATTTTAAGTTAAGCAAAACGCAGTGTCCTAAAAGTGAGAAAGATAAGGAAGAGATGAAAAAGGTTCCTTATGCTTCGGCAGTTGGCAGCATGATGTATACAATGGTTTGCACAAGGCCAGACATAGCTCATGCAGTTGGTGTTGTTAGTCGGTTTCTCTCCAATCCTGGTAAGGAGCATTGAAATGCTGTGAAATGGATTCGCAGGTATCTTAGGGGTACTTTCAGATTGAGTCTTTGCTTTGGCAATGAGAAGACCATGTTGGATGGATATACAGATGCTGACATGGCGGGTGACTTTGATGGTCGGAAGTCTACTTCTGGTTACTTGATGACTTATGGAGGGGGAGCAGTTTCATGGCAGAGTAGATTGCAGAAATGTGTTGCTTTGTCTACTACAGAGGCAGATTTTATCGCAGCTACTGAATCTTGTAAGGAAGCACTTTGGTTGCAGAAGTTTCTATAAGAGCTTGGCATGAAGCAAGAGAAGTATGTGGTGTATTGTGATAGCCAGAGCGCTATTCACTTAGCGAAAAATTCCACATTTCATTCACGGTCAAAACATATTGATGTGAGATATCATTGGATCGGGGATGTGTTGGACTCCAAGGCATTGTTTCTTGAGAAGATCCATACGGATGAAAACGGTACCGATATGTTGACGAAGACTGTGAGTAGAGAGAAGCTTCTGTTCGGTAGACAGGAAGCGGGTTTGGTTTTACCCCCCAATTGAGGTGAAGGGGGAGATTGTTGGCCCGGTATTCCCCTCACTTGGGTCAACAAGGAAACAAATAAAACCAAACCAAATTTGGCTTTGGTTTTAGGAAACAAAACCCACTCCAATTGGGTTTTCTTTTTTAGGTTTTTTTGCTCTATAAAAGCAAGGCTTTGGCATAATTTTTTAGGTGTGAATTTTTCAGCCAAGAGAGAAGAAAAGTTTGGGCAGCCGTGCATTGTTTTTGTATGAGAGAAAAAGAAAGAAAGCTAGGATTTAGTTTTCGGTTTTGCTCTTTTTTGGTTAGATCCTTCCAGTCCTACTTTGTGATAGGTGTGTGTGGAAGAGTATTGTTGTAATCCACCTTTGGGTGAAGTCCTGTGTATCCACCGGTTGGTGAAGACTGTTTTCCCATTATTGTGATAGTGGAGATTTGACTGTTGTTACAGTCCCGTGATTTTTTCCGATTTGGGTTTCCACGTAAATTCGTGTGCCTCCTTTATTTTATCAGTTCTTGAATTAGTTGCTTGTTTGGGTGGTTGTCCTATTTTATTGGTAGTAGGAAAGGAGATTTTCTTGGTGTTCGCTTCCGCAGTGTGTTGTATTTATACCCTTTCCACCACAACACTGTCCAAGTGCGGATTGAGCAGCGGAAGATTCAGCGCTTTCGCGGCGAAATCAATGATGAGAAGGCCGTCTAAGTACCGGCTGTTCGGCTTATGGAAGTAAGTCATACCATAGGGAAAACTGGAGAGGTTATAATAGATTTTGCACCAGGCAGACGAATCTTGTTGGCGGTGTCTAAAAATGAATCCCCAAACTGATAAATGGATTCAAAGGGATATAAGCTGCTTTGTTTTGGAACAAAAATGGCACTACTACAAATTAATGAAAGAAAAATGAATATCACCGGTGGAATCATCCTACTTGTAGAGGAAGTAGACATTGTTGAGAATGCTGCAAACAATTAATATATGGGAAATGATATTAATCTCACCTTACATGTCAATTATTTATTGAATAATTTACTTTCCATAATTAATAGACTTTTTACTCTACATGTAAATAACTCAATGTAAATGTTATATTTTTTTTATCAATATTGGTTCAATTGATGAATCATTGGTATTATTATAATTTTTCCCAAAAGGATTTTCTATTTTGGGGGTTAGGGTCTATTTATTTTAAAATTTTTGGATATAAAAACACTCAAAAAAAGTCTATAAATCTAAAAAAAGTTAAATTAACTTAATAAATTTGATCCAATAATCGAATGCCATGTAACATGAGTTATAATGGTGAGATAAGTTAGGTAAGTTGTGTATTATTACTTTTAATATATATCTATTTGCACGTTTTATACGTGTATAAATATTTCCGACTGACACGAGAATTCTCAAAGTAAACTAATTCTCACTGATTTACAAGACACTACACTAATATTCAAAGTATAACAATTTTGATACTTATTTTGGCACAAATAGCTAGAATAATTAAATAATTTTATTTTGGCATCTACAATAGTTTACAATATTGTGGGTATAATGACATGCCAAATCATCATTTTGTCATATTATACTTTTATTATACTTTTTCTTACATTGGTCATACTCTATAAAAGTGTAATATAATTAATTTACTATTAAATGATCATGGACCCACTACCCTATCACTAATTATTTTTTTAAAAAAAATTAATAGAATAATTTGAATGAATTACTTGATGGCTCATAAAACCATGTATTCAACAGTATAAGAATTCTTATGCCATGACAATTTCTTACACTCCATATAATGGTGATGAGTGTAATAGTAATTTACCTCTTATTAACTACCACTAAAGATGCTTTTAGGAGGAGTAAGTATGTAACTACTTGAAGTATATCATAAAATTATTTAACAAATATTATGTTCAACTCATGATCCAACTAAAATCGAACTCTTCCTAACTTTTTATTTATTTATTTATTTGTTGCAATCGATGGAGGCTAATGTCTTATAAAGAAGAAGTTACATTTTTGGCATAGGAAATACCAATTAGATCATGTTGAAATATAGAGTAACTTAAGACGGAAAGCATATGGCAGCAATGCATATAGTTTCCATTCACTACATCAAACTTCAAAACGGGAAATGATATTTATCTCACCTTACATGTCAATCTTTTATTGGACCATAAATTTTCTGCAATTGGTGCACCACTTCCTAAACTACATAGAAATAACTCAACTTTAATATTATAATTCTTCTCAATATTGGTCCAATTAATAAATCATTTGCAATATTATAATTTTTTCCTTAAGGGTTTACCTTTTTAGGGATTAGGGTCTATTTATTTTAAAATTTTAGATATAAAAATTATCCAAAAAGTCTATAGATTAAGTAAAAAAAATTAAATTTATTTATTAAATTTACCAAATGATTAAATGCCATGTAAAATGAGATATAATGGTCAGATGAATTAGGTGAGTTGTGTATCATTACTCCTTCAAAACCACAAAGTAATCACATCACAAGCCTACTTTTGCTAAAATTTGGTTTAATGAGGAGTTTTCGTCTCCCATACATCATACTAGGAGGAACTAATTTTTTTTTTTTTAAGGAAAATGATATGTATAGTAAAAGCAAATAGTTAAATAAAATAGTGACTGATGTAAAGTGTTAAGACTCTCTATTTTTTTGGTATTTTCCAGTTAAAGTTTTCTTCTTTTTTTTCCTTCTTTTTTTTAAAGAGATCAATGGTGATTCCCATTTACCCCCGGCATGACTAGAACTCGGGACCTATTGGTCAACAGGTGAGGGGCGTCTTACCACTAAGCTGTACCTCGTTGTCTCTGATTAAAGTTTTCTTTTTCTCTTAAAGTTATAATTTTGCCCCTAATTATTAATGATATACATAAGTTATTATGAGTTGTCGTTATTCTTTTTATATTATCTCTATCATTTCTCTTTTTTATTTGGCTTAAGGGAATTTCACTCCTGATAACAAACCTATTTCTTCATGCATCATCACTTTCCCTTTCCGGAGCTAGTAAAGGGAAGAAGTTTTCTGCTATTCTCTTTACAAAAGAAAAGGCTTGTTCTTGACACGTCTCGCACTAATTTGCAAATCAAGGCATTCTAAAATCTAGGAAAAAAGAAAGCGAGGTTCTATACTTCAGGTATATATATATATATATATATATATATATATATATATATATAGCAATGATATATATGTATATATAGAGCAATGATAGAGATTGTGACAAATTATAGTGAAATGGAATAGTGACTAATGAAAAGACAAATACATCATCCTCACTAAATATGTGTACTTATTAATTAATGATAAAAATGTAATTTTTAGGGAAAGATAAAATTTTAATGGAAAAGTGGCAAAAAACTAGGGGCCAAGAATACTCCACATCACTCACTATCTTTTTTCACTATATTTTTTCACTATACATATCATTTTCATATATATATTTATATATATATATATATATATGAAAAATCTAGAGTCCCGTTGACCATTTTTTAGGAACTGTCCTGTTTTGTCTTCAACCAATCAAAATTGATGGTATAAGATGTAACCATGTGGTGAATAACATTCTATAATATCCTAAACTAATTGAGAAAATGATCACTTTTCCCTAAAACATCAAGTTTCTGGCCAATTTGACCCAAAATATTTTTGGAAAACCAAATACATCATCTAAATTTCAAATTTTTGCCAATTTGATCCAAATTGATGAGAATTCTTTTAGATTTAACATTTCCATTGACATTCCGTTACTTTGTACAATTTTTTATTGGTAAAAAACATTGTTGACCAAAAAATTTTAACATTTTATCCCTAATATTTTATTATTCAGTAACATAAGCTTATCTTACCATTTAATTATTATAACGTCCCCACCACATAATTTATCTCCTATCTAATCCGTTGTTCCCACCCTAAGCCTTTTCATTTTCTTCCTCTTTTATTTTCCGCTGCCGCACAACTACCACCCATTTCTTCTTCTCCCCTAAAAGTTACCATCACCACTTTCTAAAATCTGTGAGGATTTCAAACCGTCACCACAAACATAAAAATTTACCTCCACCAACAATACACAATCCTCTCTCCATCACTACCCGCATTTCCGTTACTTATTTTTCCTTTTTTTTTCCCCTTCTTCTTTCTAAAAAATTGTACAAAGTAACGGAAAAGAAAAAAATAGCAGTTACATCGTTTTGACCCTATCGTCAATTTTACTCTATTGATTTTTGGTTAACCAATTTTGTCCTTTATGATTGAAATTTTTGTCAATTTCATCCAATTGGTCAAATTTCCATTAAACTTAACAAATCTCCGTTATTTTTTGACAAAAATATCCTAATGGTTTCAAAATATTATAAAGATAACTCACAAAATATTTTTTGAGTTATCCGAAATCTGAACGTCGTTTTCATCCTTTTTCTTGCTTTAAAAAAAAATGTACGAATAACAAAATAATCCCTTTTCACTTGTATTCATTTTAATTTATTTCATCTTATTTCAATTTACTACTTTTCATAACCATTAAAATATACTATATGATCTTTAAAAAATAATTATTTATTTTCAACAATATTTTTCATGTGCAACACACTTGAGTTGCTTTTAGAGGTAATTTTGTCTTTTTATATTTTTTAAAAAATTTTAATTTGTTTTATTTTATTTTTTAACAATTTTCTTCTTGTACTCTCTAACTTGTATATGTTGGCACTAATATAATTACTATATTTAAAGATAAAAAATTTACCTTTTGTATTTCAATTTTGAGGTTTAAAAAAATATTTTAAAAAATGCTGTCAATAAATATATGTATTTACATCATGAAATTCAATGATTACTTATATAGTTTAGCCATTAGCAAAGTAACAAAAATAATTACTAAAAAATAATAAAAATTGTGTTAACCAAATTTACAACAATTCATCATCGTGGACTAAATAAAAAGCATTTTTTCCTATTTCAAATGATTATCTAATTTTTATATTATTTTTTATTATCACAAATAAAATAATTTATTTAGTCTCACCCAACTCGCCGACTCACTCCCTCACTCAATTAAACACTTTTTTCCGATAATCTTTTTTTTTCCAGTGACAAGGGCGTCAGAAAGAGCGGCAAGCCCCTGCCCTACAAGGGATCGGCCTTCCATTATATGATTCCTGACTTCATGTGCCAAGGAGGAGACTTCACCGCCAAAAACAGTACCGGTGGAGAGTCCATCTATGGTGCGAAGTTCGCTGACGAGAACTTCACCAAGAAGCACGCTGGTCCCGCAATCCTATCCATGGCTAACGCTGGGCCCAACACCAACAGATCTCAGTACTTTATCTGCACTGTTAAGACCACTTGGCTCGATGGGAAGCACGTTGTGTTTGGCCAGGTTCTGGAAGGCATGGAAGTGGTGAATGCCATTGAGAAGGTTGGATTAGGGAGTGGAAAGACCGCCAAGAAGGTTGAGATCGCCGACTGTGGCTAGCTTTAGATCTGGGGGGACTTTTTTTAGGTGGGGTCAAAATCTATGGGTCTTAATTTTAAATATAATAAATATCTGGTGGTGTTTTCTGGGATTTTTCTCCTCTTGCTATTGTCTGGGTTTTTTTTTTTTATTTTGTTGTTTAAGGTAGCCAGTTTGAAGTATTCTTGTTATGACTGAGACATGGATATCGGATTGGTAGGCTGACCAATCTTCTTCTTATGCAATTTAAGTACTATTAAAAAATTATCTCTTTGGATAAAAAAAAAATCATTTTAGGATAAATCGAGTAAAATTTATATTTCGTCACTTACTTATGAATTACAAAAAGTCAAGGAGGAAAGACTTGTCTTAGCATTTTTTTCTTTGTAGATTTTTTTTTTTTTTTTGTTTAGAATGATAAACTATAAATTTTCATATTTATTTCAACTTGATTTTCTTCCTCATTTTCTTTATTTTTTGAACTTTTTTTATAATCTATGAAATAAAAGGTAAATTAATTAATGAAATTTAGTAATTATACTAGTAGCAACAGATAAAAGTCAGGAAGTATAAGAAAAAGAATACTAAATAACAAAAAAAAAAGTTAATTAAAAATTTTAAAAATATGACAATTACTTCTGAAGCCAACTCACATGTTTGCACATGAAAAATAGAGTTTGAAAATAAATACTTATTATTTTAAAGATCTTATAATATATTTTGATGGTTATAGAAAGTAGTAAAGAGAAATAAAATGAAATAGAAATAAATAAATAAATAATGAAAAGAGATTATTTTGTTGATTTTACATATTTTGGGGGTTATTTTTATAATTTTTTGATACTATTGAGATATATTTTTGTTAAAATAACTGAAATCCCTTAAGTTTAATGAAAATTAGGCCAATTGGATGAAATTGGCAAAAATTTCAAACATAAAAGACAAAATTGGCTAGCCAAAAACCAATAGGGTAAAATTAACGATGCGGTTAGAACTTTGGGTACAACTGTCATTTTATCCGTAGCGGAATGTCAGCGGAGGTGTTAAATCTAACGGAAGTTTTGTCAATTGGTTAAAATTGGCCAGAAATTGAAACTTAGATAATGAATTTGGCTTCCCAAATATCTTTTTGGGTTAAATTGGCTAGACACTTGAAGTTTTGGGCAAAATTGACCAATTCCTCTAATTTTTTCAGTTTAATCAGGTGTGTTTAGGTATATTTAATTGTGATACACCTTCATTTTAATCCAACGGTTTTTAATTAGACTAATTAATCATACGGTTATTATCTTAAAACGGAACCGTCCCGTAACGGGACTCTAACCGCTCCCATATATATATATATATATATATATATATATATATATATATATATACTTTAGGTTTACAAGATTATACGTATAGAGAAATAATCCTGGTGAACTATTTTTCTAAGAAAGAAGAAGTATTATTCTTTTGTGTAATCTTTTAATAAAGGAAAACATGTAAACAAAATTCAGTTTAATTTTGTGGACTAAAAATAGACTAGAGGGAATATCTATGTATTTGGAAACCCTATTAAGTTAGCACACCAGCCAAATTTTAACTTCCATATCTGAAAACAGTATACTTACACATGCTTTCTCTATCAAATTGACTAGTCTGATTTTGACAAGAATGTGCAATGGGCAGATCATAGTTTGCAAACTCGCGATCCTGGATCGTAGGATTGTCCGATCCTACGATCCTAGATACCTAAATCGATACTGGATCGATCAAACTCGAATTTTGCAGTGGGATCGGTCATGATCGGTTAGGATCATAGGATCGGTCTGAGTTTACTCTTCATTAATTACAAACATTAATTGAGCTTATTGAGATTTTTCTTTTCTCTTACTTCTTTTAGTTCACATTCAATTGAGCTAATATTCCTTGAGTAAGCTTTGATTGCTAAGAAAAATGTATTTTAGAAACGTTTTCTAATAAAATGAAAAAAAGAATTATAAGAGAAGAGTTTTTTAAAAAAAAGTTATGAAAAAATTCATATAAGAAAATTGAATTTACACAATTGTTTTTGTTTAAATGTTAAATACTTTATGTAAAGATAATTGAAACTTAATTATCAAAGTAATTAATCATATAACATGTATAATTAATTTTGCGATCCTACTATTCTGATCTTACCGATCCCGTTTACAATCCGATCCTATGACTCCATTTCGATCCTACGTAGGATCATGATCTGCAAACACTGGGGCAGACATGTATAGCTAGTTAAATAAATTATGTGTGGAAAATCAATTAATCTTATCTTGACAATGGGCAAATGGGCAGACATGTACAGCTATTTAAATAAATTTAAAAAGAGAAGTAAGGGGTTCTCTCTGGTCCAATTCAATGAATGGCTAAGGTTGCTCACAACTTTTGATTCATTTTCAGCCAAACTTGGACCAGGAAATGGGTGTTATAAGAGGTAGCTGAAGATTTATGTTCTTAAAAATCATATTCTCTTTTTTGTTACGTACTTTCTCGATGCTTGGTTAGAGGGAAATAATCTATACATTAAGCAAGAATTGTACTTTCTATTGTACTAAAGAAAAATATATAAAAGAATATTAATTTCTTGATTATACATAAAGAATCAATCCTGTAACACTATGATGTACTAACATTTTTTCAAATATATTTAAGAATTCGACCCGTAGGTGCATCCATATATCTTCCAACTCGGATCTTCAGAGTTCAAATAGAGTTGCTGATGTAACTTTAGGAAGAACATCATGGATAAGACGATCAGATATGTGACTGTATGCTGCTTGTGTTAAATGTATTCCATCCCAATGGATAAACTCTGCTGGATTTTGACAAGCTTCAACACCCTTTGACCCACAAACATGCTCTTCATTATAATTATGCTTCCCACCAACTCCACAACAGGCTTTGAGCTTTGAATTCTGGTCGAACCCGAAGAAATCGCCATAATGTAAAATGGATTGAAATGCTTGATAGTAGTCGAAATAGAGAATAACCGCATCTGGAAACTCAATTTTCAGGGATTCAACTGCTTTCTGAAGATGACTGTTGAAGAACAACACGAATTCATTGTATTTTCTCAAACACCCTTGTTCATCATAATCTCTAACATCAGCACTAGGAAACTGAGTCAACATTATGGGCAAACATCCTTCAGGGAGATTTCCTGGTACTACAATATAAGCAGCTCCAAGATGAATGGCTTCTCTAACAGCATTAGATATGGATTCAACAATAAATGACACAAAATCCTTCCTGATCTCCTCTAAAGACCAGCCATGCGAAATCGCGTTGTTAACATCATTTCCACCATATCCTCCAATTATAACAAGAGCCTTCTTCAACATTTCCTTGCGTTCAGGCGCATTGGCATCATCAGAAACAGAATTCAAGTGTTCCTTGAACCAAGTAATCTGATGACTAAGAGGAATATTGGTTGATGGTACAATAATATTTCTTTCGAGAAAGAATGCATTATCTAGGGCTGTACTTCCAGCCACAGCAAAGTTGACGCCGTGACTAAATGACACGTTTTTTTCCAAGTAAGGAGGAAGCAGCGGAAGATTGAGCGCTTTCGCGACGAAATCAACGACAAGAAGGCCGTTTGAGAAACGGCCGGTTGGCTTATGGAAGTAAGTCATTCCATAGGGCAAATTGGAGATGTTATAAACGGATTTTGCACCAACCTGACGAATACGGTTGCCCGTGTCTGAAAGTGAATCTCCAAACTGATAAATGGATTCAAAGGGATATAAGCTGCTTTGTTTTGTAGCAAAAGTGGTAAAAATTAATGAAAGAAAGATGATCACAACAGTTGGAATCATTGTACTTGTGGAGGAAGAAGACATTGTTGATGAATACTTGAATATATGTAGTTCCACAAATGGACGTTATTATGTAATTTAAGGTTGGTTTGAATTTCTTCCTTTGATCGAATGATGCAATATATATAGAGTTGTCACCAAGCCAAAACCGTGCAAACCAATGAAATACTCTTGATGATGTCCCAATGTGGTAATGTCCAATATTTCCAAATAAAAAGGGACAGAAAAAGGAATACAAAGTGTCCCACCTACTAAATTTCTTGTATGATGAAGAAGATTATTTTGCACGCAAGGTTTTGACATTTTAAATGCCGATTAGATCAGATTATTCAGCCAAAGGGGTGAAGTGTTTAACTTGGAAACCATTTTTAGGCCTATTTATTGTTAATTACACGTGGGGAGACTTTGTTCCATACTTTGGGTTAAATGGCTATTAAACTTCAGCGTTGACAAATTCTTTTGCAAATTATGTTGTTAATGACCCGTGGGATGCGTATTTGGAATTATTTTCTGGCGAATAAAAAAAGACGGCGGAGTTCAGGTTTGATGGTGGCCGCCGCCGCCCCCGTTGGATTGAAATTGAATAATGACAAGTCGATTTTGATAGAAACACCGAGGGGATGGCAAACGGAGGAGGGCTAGTTCGAGATCATTAGGAATGTTATACGAATTTGTTATGATTATTAATTGTAACAATTTTTCTCATGATTTATAGGTTGTCTGAGATTTAATAAGAGGAATAAAAGTGGTCACTCTTTCATGGTTGATTATTAATACATAGCATAAAAGATCTATCTACCCAATATGATTAACTGTAACAATTTTTTTCATGATTTATAGGTTGTTTGAGATTTAATAAGGGGAATAAAAGTGATCACTCTTTCATGGTTGATTGATACAGAGCATAAAAGATCTATCTACCCAATAGCCAGAATTGTTGAAATTAAATATTAAACAATTATTTTGTTTCACCTAGCAATTATTATTATTATTATTATTATTATTATTATTATTATTATTATTATTATTTGCAAGATTTTCAAAAATTATTACAGAGTCCTGTCTAACATAATATGGTTGGATATATTATGATGTTATGAATTATTTCATAATCTTTCCGTCGCGAAATTATTATCTAATTTAAATTTTTATTTTTAACACAAATTATATTAAATGAAAAAAATTCAAATCGGACAACGATATTGAGACTGGGGGAATACTTCCTTATACGTGATCAATTTAATTCATAAGTTTGCCTCCTTTGTCAAGAAAATCAATGATAAAATTGCAAAAGCTTGAGTTTACAACTTACAGGAGTTGGGGAATTCGTATAGCGAAGAGAGAGCTTGATTAGTGTGAAAGCTGAAAGTTTAGCTCGGTGTGTTAGCTTACATTTAATTAGGTGTGAAATACACTTAAGATAAGTATTTTTAAAAAAAATAAAAATAAAAACTATATTATATTAGTTTACTGGAAAACATCCAGCAACGACTGATAATGAAAGATACAGTCAAAATAAGAACACAACTTACAATCAAAAGTAATACTATTATTTTTTCCGTAGATAAACCTATCTAGTCTATCCTATACAATAATAGATATATCACGTGCCAGATAAACAATCTGATCAATAACATATATCTCATCTGATGAATACCCTAAATGATAAAACTATCAAATAAATATATGATGCTTGAATCTTCTTGAACTGTACCATGTGAAGAAAAATCCTACGCTACAATTAATTTACTGAAGGAATTATATTTTGGGAGACAAAACCCACTTATTAAATAATAAAGAAATTATAAACTAAGAAAAATCAAATCAATTCTCCCATCGACCCCGAGGGATGATGGAGGAAGGAAAATTTTTTTAAAAGATGGTTAGGGTTTGATGGAATATGGAGAAAAGAGGAATAAAGAGCCTCTATATTTGCTAAATAAAGTTAAAGAGTTTTAGGAGTGATAATTTATTTGCCCGATAATCCTATTTGTGTTCCCCTCCGAATTTTATTTAGGATGTTTCCATAATTTCGTGGTCCTTTAAATTTATCTAAGATTTTAATAATATTTCTTAGATAGATCGAAACAACTGATTATATATTGTTCCAACTCTGAAACTACTCAATGAAATTCATGAAATAGAAATCTTATAATTTCAGAGGCTTCAAAGAAAAGCCATATCTTGATTAAATGTAAGGGAGAATATCTAATAAGGGCATTGGAAAGATATTATTTATTGTGAGGGGCATGGACTACAATTATCCATTACTAAATGCTTTTAATTTTTTCAGATATTAAAAGACCAAATAATCCCTCATTTCTTTTCCTTCACCGAGTGATGAATTCGGCAAATTCCAACATGGAAAAAAAAAAAAAAAAACTCTTTTTTCTCGCAATTGGAAATCTGATCATGTAATCTATGGAAACAACATATCATCTTTTTTTTATTTTTGATTAGTTAATAATCACAGCAGCCACCGTTATGATCATATAAGCTACATGTTTCAATTTGTTGCTAATGAAGAAGAAAGGAAATCTTGTTGTGGTTAGAGCTTTGAAAAGTGCTGCGATTTCAAGAGAACAAGCAGATTGGACATCTTATGATATACGATCTCAGATTTATTAAGGAATGAGAAGAAAAAATTGAAGTTGATTTTGGATGAATCTTGAGAGGAAAGTCGAAACTTTCTGTTTGTCAAGATGAAGAGGATAAGACAGTAATTTTGTGTTTAGTTTTTAAACCAACTTATTCAAATCCTAAAAATATGTCTTTTATGATTTATGATTGTTAGCCTAGCAAAAAAATTCAATACATATTCTTTTAACTAAATTAGGACAACTTCACACGTATTTTTTTGATTTTATAAACAATAATAAAAATGAAAATATTTAGGCAATATTTAAAATTTATTCAAAAAGATGAATTATCCTTACATTTTCTTCTATATACAGAACAACAAAACATAATATTAACAAAAAAAAATTACATACTTTAAGCACTACAATAGTAACAGGCTAATCATTAACAAATGAAAACAATTATATTTAACCCCTAGTTAATTAGATTGGCTACTTAATTTTAAGTATATGTGTGTTGAGACTCTATAAATGATATTTAAAACACAAGGGTAATATCGAAAAAAAATTTAAAAATTATTATTGGAAAACAAAATAGACCAGTACTTTAATACAACCACAAATTAGAAAATAGACATCTATTTTAAAAACGAGATAGTAATTAACATTTTTATGTTTATAAAAACTAATATTATTATACTTATTTTTTAGGAAACCGACGATTAACCGAAGGTTTTTCACGGCTTGAACTGCCGGTTCAAAACTGCTTATTTGAACCGTCGGTTTACGATTTTTAGAAGGATTGAACTGTAACCGGCCCTTACCCAGACGGTTCGGTTATGATTATATGAACCGTAACTCACGGTTCCAGTCAGATTCATGAACCGACGGTTCGGTTCCGAGCCAGTTCCGATTAAAATCTTAACCGTGATCATGCCTAGGTAAAAGCTAGAAGGTGATACTAATAAATTGGATAATTCTAAAATTCAGTCCTTATTTTTTTACTGGACCATCACCATCCACTTAGGGTGAATTCAATAAAAATTTGACATGTCAAATTTTTTTTTTGAAAAGGACATGTCAAATTTGATTATAGAGGTGATGAGGAGTATCTTAACCTCTTTTTTTCTTTTTTCTTTTCTTGAAATCAGACTTCATTAAAACTCAAAAAAGTACAACCAAAGCTATTCAAAAGGAGTAGTTTAAAGGCACATTTTCATTAACCTATGTGCGCCCTCAATTATCTCCCTTTCTACCTTGATAACATCACATTTATGAAAGCTGGAAATACACAACCTAATATCCTCTACCAAGGTTAGTAAATACAGAGGGCATACTTTGTCTTCCCGTATGTAGTCCACGAGGTTATTATCTGTTTGTATCTGGCAATCCACTAAGCCTAGTGATAAGGCTGCTTTAAGACCCTTCAAACAAGCTTTCCCCTCCGTATTTTAACCTGTCTACTTTTAAAATGTAACCAGCTAACTATTAAAGTGATTTACCTAGGCAAAAGTTCTAAACTATTCTTTCTCTTAACCATCTCCCTTCATCGATTAAATCTCCATTGAAGTTTCTCAAAAAAAAAAAAAAAAAAGTTTAGAACTTTTTTTTTTTTGAATCTTTTACGGATATAAATGCACTTGAGACTTGACAGTGCTTCAATGGAGACCATCTCCCTTCAATGAATCACCGATATGGATTAAAACACAAAACGCCTTTCGTCAATTCAATTCCATAAACGTCAAATTCACCAGCCCTAATGATCCGATCAAATTTTCTATTGGATTCAATCATATCCCTTTCTTTGGCGGAGAAGCACAAAATTAGCAAAACTGTGGTCAGATATTAGTCTTATTCGTCTGCTTTACGTTGCATTGGAAAGTTGCAATTTCTTTTAAGACTGCATATACTCCTTCCGTCCCATAATTATTATCCAGTTTGAGTTTTTATTTCTGGTTCAAATTGTACTAAAAGTGAAATTTTAAACTGAACAATAATTTTGGGACAGAGGGAGTAATTTATAAAAAAGATCATGAGTAAGAGTTTGCTTCTTCGTAAAAATGACAACTGCATCCCGATTTAGGATTGGATTGGAATAAAAGATAATTATGACGCACCGAGGTAATAGTTAGCCATTAGAATGTCTGTCCGAGAATAAATATATTCGATGAAACAAAGATTGAAGAAATTATATAACATGTTATATTTCTTCCCAATAAAAAAAAAAAAACCATGTTATAAGTGATTTGGGTAATATTTTTTAATTATTGTTTAATTGAGCAGGAGGTTTTCGATTGAAAAAGAGAGGATTGTGTTCTTCAGATATCCGTCCTAGGCAAATTTTTATGTTCATTATCAAATATATAATTTTTTTTTTTTTTTTGGTTACTGGCTCGGTAAATGAATGATTCAGTGTAATTGGGTCTATTTTCTTTCAAAACACATTTATTTCAATCTTACTACTATTATGATTTGTATGCATCTTATGACTACTAATGTATGACTAAACTACTCATTCAACTGTATCATAATCGTTCTTCAATTATAAATTTTAT